ATTTCACATCTCATTGCAGTGCAAGAGGGTTCTGGTACTCCAACGGCAGCATAAACTGTTGACAAGCCAATTATCTAATAAGAGCTAGAATCTGCTTTGTAGCTGCTCGTTACGATTCAGAAACATATCAACTAGGAAAGAACGGCTGTTCATCGATTTATGATTGATTTACCATTATCTTCACTCTGGGAGCTTCAAACCCTACAGAGCTGATATTTCCATAACGTGGTCCACTCAGACTCGTAAACGAAGATAACATTCCAAGATGAAGAAAGGTGCACTAGCAACATGTAGCTGTGACCTGTTTAAATGATCCCTTAGGAAACGAAGTGAAAAAAGGTGGTGAAATGTGACGTAAAATCTGGTCTTGGAGGAATGTGTCATACGCTTTAAGGCGAAGAAACGTCGCTCAGTTTGTTGCTAAAAGCTTCTACACGTTCACGATACAGTAGAAGACAACAAGCACTGTATTCGAACAAGACGCACCGCGTTAGCTAGTAATCACTGAATTAGACAATACAGAAGAACATACCAATTTTATGCAGTGTAATAAAGTTGTTACGAGAGCCGCACTCCTTATATGGTTTAGTAAATCATGAATAAGTTAAGGATTTTCATGCCTGAGCACGTTAAGAAGCATATAGCTCTACCAAATGACTTTTACAGATTATCCGTACACCATTAACCTGGGTACTCGGTCCTTGACACTGATACGTTAGGTGACGATGACAACAACAATAAAGTATGCATCTATCCCTATCATCTAAATAACTGAGGAGTTATTTAAGTGGGACACTGTTGTTTTATTCGACCACGTAATTAGATGGGTTGCCATGCCAAAGTTGCAGCGGTACGCACAGAACTGTCACTGTACCGCATTTACAGGGATCGTATTTGCTCCTGGCGCGCATTCTGCGGAATCTACAGAGGGCAGGGCAGCCCACTGTTTATTAATCAAATGGAAACCTCGTTGCTTTTGGGTTTAACTTCATATAAAACATTTACTTGTCATGAGTAGTTGAACTGTACCAACTTCTAATAGTCATTAACGTCGAAGGGTCAAGCAATCAGGTCAAGGGCAGTCCACGAGAATTGCCTATGTCCCTGATTTCAGTTTGAGGGAGGGAGGGCATCGTTCATCTTGATGAACTTGCAGCGTTTACTCGCTTTAAATCTTGTGATACTTTCGTAAGCAACTACCTAGCCCTCAGATTAAAGAGTCAAACTTATGTTTATGTTTTTTAATATCTGCTACATTTTAATGTGTATTAATAAATGCTTAACTCACCCAATAACCCGATTTCAATAAGAACTGCACCAGCTTCTTGCTACTAAGGATTTAAGCACGTAACGGTCTAAGGTGTTTGAACACCTGCAGTGCAATATGCATTTTGCATCATCGTATCAGCTAGGGCAATCTTACTCATCACAAATGATGCCATTAGTTTCATACTTAAATGATCCCATGCAATTATGAACAAAGTGTCAGTGAAATTCGACTCTGGTGGA